TTTGCCACTAAAATTTGTGCTTTAGTACAAATAAGATCTCCAGTTAAATGGTGATAATACCTAAAATAGTTTTAGTAGATAGTGAACACTTATTTAATAAAATTATTTCATAATTTCCACATTATTTGGTAGGATTGGTTGACAGGTGAAAAATGACCAACAAGAAATGTATGGAAGATGCTGTGAAAGATTTAACCATCTCAACAGTATTCTTGAAAAACGCAGTATGTTACCTTCAATAGCAGACCAAAAAAATGGTCTTAAAATTCACATTTACTTACATCTTTTCTTATTTCATAAAGCATTTGAGATAGTAACATATTTGTTGAATTGAAAGCTGCCTACAAAAATGTGATTTGTGATTTGAAGAAGTAATCACAAAATGATTACTTCTAATCATTGTTTCGAAATAACATTTTGAAGTTATGAAACAGTTAAAGCTTAATTATTTAAGAATATAGAAAGTTTTACTCATAATGATTGCTTTAGATTGATCTAAATAATATAGAGAATTGGGTATTCATTTCTGAGACATCAAAGCTAATAAATACATGTACAATCACTTGTCAGAAATTGACTGGCTTGGGGTTAATTTTATCATAATACATCCAGTAAAACTTTAGCTAGCACTCTTTTTTGTTGTACTTTGGAACTAAAATGTTTAAAAGTGTTATTAAAAAGTTTCTAAATTTTTCCAGGGGAATTTTTAAAAACAGTTTCTCTAGTGAAAAATCTAACTGATGGACTCAGAATATTTTCAAAATATGATGTTGCAGGGTTTTACAGGTATGTTGCATATAACGGATAAGAGTGGGGCAGTCTGGACCCCAGGCCTTAATCTCATTTATCATGGACCTTAGGGAAATTAGCTTTTGTGTGCTTTTTACTTTTGTAAAAAGGGTGTAATATATACCCCTAACTAATTTATGTAAGGAATGTAGATAAATTGAGCTTTAAGCCCCTTTATAGAAATTATCAATGAAAATCAAGCTCATAGCAACAACAAAAGTTGCTGCTACTACTGTTTGTAATAACATTGTCATAAAGTACTTATCTATGCTTTAGAGTCTGGGAAGAAGTAGTAACTTTTTAGCATAAGAAAATTTTCTGGGCCATGAATTAGCAATTTTTAACTTTTGAAGTGCCTATCACTAGGGATTTTCTGTCTTTTTAAAAAATTTTAGAAACACATTTTCAGAGTTAAGTTGGATGTAGAGTAATATTTTCTGTGTAATTAAAAGCCCTATGACTTTAGAGCCTTTTGTTTTGTTTTATGAGAATTGAGTTCTCTTCCCTTGAGTATTGTGACAAAGGGAAAAGTCTGTGGTTCTCTCAGAATATTTATTCTCTCTGTGGAGCTTCTTCAGGTGGGTGCCAGTTAGTTCAATACCCTTGGTATTTTTCTGCCAAAGCTAAATGTTCCTCTAAGACAAGCTGTTATCTTTTTTTTTTTTTTTTTTTGTAAGCCAAGGCCTAATTTAGAGATTAATGCATAATTAGCCACTCAATACATGCTTAAACCACATGGTCTTATGAGTGATAGGATGGGCATTCTAGAAGAGTAGTTGAGTATGCAAATACATGAAATAGGCCACGCATGGTGGCTCATGCCTGTAATCCCAGTACTTTAGGAGGCCGAAGTGGTTGGATCACAAGGTCAAGAGATCGAGACCATTCTGGCCTACGTGGTGAAACCCCATTTTTACTAAAAATACAAAAAATTAGCTGGGCATGGTGGCATTCACCTGTGGTCCCAGCTACTCAGGAGGCTGAGGCAGGAGAATTGCTTGAACCAGGGAGTCGGGGGTTGCAATGACCCAAGATCGCACCACTGCCCTCCAGCCTGGCAATAGAGTGAGACTTGGTAAAAGAAAAAAAAAGAAGGTACATGAAGTAAGAATGATTGTGATGAAAGGTTTTAGTAGGGAAATAGTGAGAGGGAGGGCTAAAAAAAAAAAAAAGGATTAGAGCTTGCTTTTAGACTTAGTACTTAGCTGTAGATAGTAAGCATTATTCTTTAGGTTCTTTGTCTCTCACACAGAAACTTGTAATGATCTCATTATGACAAAGTCGTGAATCTCTTCTGCAGACTTTGGGAACTAAACAAGTGCTATTCCAATAATTGCTGCTGCCCTTTTTCTTAAATTTCATTCTTGCATGTGTGCTGAGGATGGAACATTTCTGTCAGCCCTTGTGAATAGAGACTATACTGTGCATTGCTGAGTATAGAGAGCATGTTTGTTGTATCAAGGGCATATTTTTGACTATATTATTAGTAATATTAGCAAGCTTTTGATGAAGCCCCAATCAACTTCTGGTGCATCTTGAGGGCACTAAATTTGTTGATGTTAATGGAGAATGGAAAATTCCTTTTAGAGGTAAAACTAAATATTATTTGAAATAAGGAATTTATTCCTTAAAGGAACAAACAAGAAACTATTACCTTCTGGAGATCTGAGTTTAATTTCCTGACTTAAATCTTCATATTCTAACATGTTTGGCATTTACATCTGTTGTCCATATCACTAAACCATCAGGCAGCCTGATATTTATGAGGTATGTTCCCTAGAGTGATTCTAGACTAAGAGTTTTTGCAGTTCAGTTAAGATTATGGAACAGAGTGACAAAGAAGAAATTAACATAGCTGTGACCTAATTTAAAGCAAAACAACTTTGACATGTGTTCATGTTTGATTTCTAGGTTGCTTGTTTCTTAAATGAAAAATATACCTGTCGTGCACCTTCTATTTAAAGGGCATCCTAATGACATTTCTTAGGTACTTCTTTACATGTTTTGTTCTCACTTAGAACAGTTTACATCTGTTATAATTACTTAGATACTTTTTTCTAAGTTTAAGGGATAGTTAAAAAACTGAATACAGCACACATATGTGACACCAATGTCAACACGGATTTCTTTTTAAGTTCAGTTCTCTAATGGAAGTCGTAAAAGCAATGTTACACAATGTTTGCTGCACCCCCTGCTGGTTGTATTGTGACATTTCCTAAATAAAGAGCATCTTTAGATACTACTCAGTGAATACTTTAGGTATATACATGATTTCTCCTTGGAGTTATTTTTTGTTTAGAAATAATTTTAGTTGCATCTTGACATATGAGTTGAAATGTTAATTGGAAACAGTTTTCTTTGTAATTTGTCAGTTGATGTTTAAACAATGCTTATCCTTCCATGTAGTATAATAATGTATTTGTTGGAGACAAAATATTTGCCATAGCCTTTTTACTAATATTTCAGATGAAATTCATTGGAGGAGAGGCATCTCCCCAAATGTCCTTGTTTTATAGTAAATAATTCTATGACGAGCATCCTTATACATAAGTCTATATTCATGTTTGTTGTATGCTAGATACAAATCTTGCAAAATTCATGAAGCTTTAAGAAAGATCACTTTGAATCTTAAAAGAGATTCTCTGAGCAGGGATTGGCAGTGGTTGGCCAGCTAGTTATAATAGCCATGAGGGCAGAGATTGTGGTTATTGGGCTCATCAGTGTGTTTCAAGCTATGATCTGGAGTCAGAGTGTTAGTGATTCCTCTAAGGGGAGAAAAAGTAATTACAGGAAGCATCATTTTCTAGTTTCTGCCATATGACGTGACAGCCATCAAATCTCAGTTTCTCAAGAACAAAATTCAGAGGTGCTAAATTAAGTGGACAAAAATCATTTCCTAAATGGTAGGTTAAGCTAAGTGACAAAAAATATAGGGCCGTTATTTATAAACATTTGAGTAAATTTTAAGTGGGATCCTGCCCTAATTTAGAAATAAGTGCATCTTCTTTAAATGAAAACATGTTTTCCTGTTATGTGTATATCCTTTATTATTTGAACAAATATTAGATTACATACATGTTCCCAAAGTGCTTTGTGTTCTCCATTATCTCAGTATGCTGAAATTGATGGCTTACTTAATTCCTCCAGTGGGTGCTTAAATTAATGCTCAGTGGATGGATGGATGTTGAATGTACTAGGACTGAGGGTAGAATCCTAATGAATCACCATGTGGCCTTTAATATCCTTTGGATTTCTACAGTAATTGCTCACTTTTTAGTACATGTGTTGTTGGATGTGGTTTTTGCTGTTTAAACACAAACATAGATGTTTTGAATACTATTAACTGATTTTATTTTCTGATAAAATCTTATTCATCCAAAATCTAGTATTCCGAATCAGTAGAAAGTCTTAATCATAGACTATTTGAAAAGAATTGTAGTTTGTTAGTCATATGCTTACCATTATAACACAGGTTTAAAGCTAATAATTGGTTTTTCTAAGTTAAAGTCCTTTTGTTCTAAATTTCTGTGGTCTTGGTATAATGAAAAGATATGATCTATTAGTACATGTTAACATTATGCTATTAGTATGATAATTAGTACATGTATCTATGTAAGTAAATGATATTAAAATGCTTTGAAACAATTTCTTTTCATCGCATTTCTCCCTACAATATGGTAACCTTATTAATTTTCTTATTCCTTTCCTGTAAGGCAAAACAAACTGGTAAATTATCATAAAATCAGTGTTAGCATGAACCCAAATTAAGTCTATAAGGCTCTTTGCATATTATACTCTATAGCTTATCTTGTCATGTACAACATTATTGTGAGATGTATTTTAGACTAACAGAAAGCGGTTTTATTTCTGCCTATACTTTTATCTATAAGGTTTTGAAAGTAAATTCATACAATCAGTTTGGACCTTGAAATAATTATAGGAGTTATGAACTAGCTGATTTTGGCATGTACCTTGATTTGGCAAGTAAGGAAACTCAGGCCCACAGAGATTAGGCAAAACTTTCCAAAGTCCCAGAGCCTGAGCCACATTTTGTGATTAACCACCCAGAGTTTTCCCACATTGCTTCCCATATAAAGGATAGAGAATAGAATTATCTTATCAAATGGCCAGGAAGGGTGTTTTGCTGAATTAATTAGCTTGTAGTGTCACTGAACTTACGTGTAACATTTTCGCATTTCTCTTTGTTGCAGAATGCAAAGTATGGCGAAATCCACTAAATTTATTTAGGGGTGCTGAATATAATCGGTAAGCATTTTGACAGCTTGGGAAACAAATGGGTCTGGTTCAGAGAGCAAAGACAGCAGCAAATGTTTTTGCTGGTTCATTTAGGGGTCATTGTAACAGTCTATTTAGTGCATCCATTTTTTAATACTATGCTTAAATGTTTTGATTTTTCTGTTTTATAAATATATTAGCACTAGATTTGGGATAATGTTCAAAAATGTGTAGTTTTAGAGTTTTTCTTTGAACAGTTATTCTTTTCAGTATATGTTATACAGTCAAAACATTTTGAAGCTTACCTCTATATGGTTATAGAGATGTCATAGAAATTATGTGGGAATTAATTTAGCAAAATAATTAGGCAAAATAGAATTTTAATAGCTTTAGGAAAGTGTCTATTCATAATATGAATTAGGGAAGATTTTCATTAGTAATGGCTAGCAAATTTTAAGACAAAAGTACAGGGGAAAATGTTTATTTCTTTTGATTGATATAATTCCTGAAGGGAGAATAAGATGATTTAAAAAATATTTTGTATTCAGTAGCAAAGCTATTTTAGTATTCCGTTAATGGTCTGTATTTCAATTCCTCTGCAGCTTAGTATTTTATAGGTCTTGCTTTTCTCTTTCGAAAGTGTCTAATAATCTTATTTTACCTTGGCAGGTATACTTGGGTGACAGGACGAGAGCCTCTTACTTACTATGACATGAATCTCTCTGCCCAGGACCACCAGACATTCTTTACTTGTGACTCGGACCATCTGCGTCCCGCAGATGCAAGTATGAAAAATCCATACATCCTTCTGAGTAGGAAGGTTTTTTTGGCTTAAGTATCAAGATTTCTGCTTTTACAATACCTACTCTGTATCATGCCAACGAATAAAATATTGTTGATTGACTAAGAACCCAGAAATCTGAAATAATTAAGTAAACCTTTATCACAATGACGTATTGATGTAGAAATGAGTCTCCTCATTATAATTTGAATCATTATTTAAAAAAAATCAAAGTTGGTTTTATATATTTTAAAGAAATATTAATCTTCCATGAAGCTAATGAAATTCTTGGTTGAGTTAGCATGAGGAGTCTTATCTCTTTTATGATATTCAAAGTAGAATTTGGAATTCACTGGATTCAAATGATTAATGAATATATTTTGGTGACTTTTATCTGCATATTTATGGGTTAACTAGCATCAACTGGCATCATGGCCTTGGCTGTTGGAGTCCAGATGTATTTTTCCATCCGAGCAAATACTTTGTTTAGTGTTCATTATACATTAGTTGAGTTTCAAATAATTCAACTGAAATTTTTTTGTTATAAAACTTATGCAATGTAAATTGGTGAAAATAATGTTTTTAAAAGGGAATCCCTCTACATACTCTAAAATAATTTTATTTATTTATTTATTTATTTATTTATGAGACGGAGTCTTGCTCTGTCATCCAGGCTGGAGTGCAGTGGCACATTCTCAGCTCACTGCAACCTCCGACTCCCTGCTTCAAGTGATTCTCCTGCCTTAGCCTCCTAAGTAGCTGAGATTACAGGCAAGTGCCATCACACCCAGCTAATTTTTTTGTATTTTTAGTAGAGACGGCGTTTCACCATGTTGGCCAGATGGTCTCGATCTCCTGACCTCGTGATCTGCCCGCCTTGGTCTCCCAAAGTGCTGGGATTACAGGCGTGAGCCACCACACCCGGCCTCTATAATAATAATTTATAAAATACAAATTTATAAAATAAATAGATAGTTACTCCTTTTTAAAATGGTACTCTTTGCTATGGTAGAAACATATAGTAAATATTGCCCAACATTGAGCTTCCCACAGTATGTTCAGAAACTGCTCTGATGTATAAAAACTAGGTTTGCAGTTAAATTTGGGATATAAGTACACATGTTAAGCAAAAGCTTAAGCATTTTTTACTGATCCACACATGATTCTTGAAATGGTTTCAGAATGTTCTGTCACTAAGAGCCTGTATTAAGTGCTTTGGAAATGACCAATTATGTTGTATATAAGTGAAAGAAGAGGTTAGTAGCAATTTCATCTCAAAATGTGTAAAATAATGTATGCTCCCCAGAAACAAATGACATTAATATGCAAAAGACAGGTAACATCTCTGTTAGAGTGTGTTTTCTTGATTTCCTTAGCCTGTAGTTTTGTGAGCACAAAAAAGCATTGCTATCAGCAGTTAAAATACAGTGGAATAGCAAATTAATACATTAATGTGACTTTGGAGATTTTGGCCAACCCTCTTAGTAATGAAATATTTTCTTGTAATTTAAGCTGAAGGTCCTAATTTAGCTCTTGTCCTCTACTGAGTCTACCTAATTATATGTATTGACTTGGTTTTTTCTCTTTTTCTTAAATAGTAATGCAGAAAGCCTGGAGAGAGAGAAACCCCCAAGCTAGGATTTCTGCAGCTCATGAAGCCTTGGAGATAAATGAGTAAGTGGGGGAAAATCTTGCTATTAAAAAGGAAATCTCATCCTTTGCAGAATATATTCAGTTGCCATTGATAGGATACTTAAACTGCATTTGACTTGGAGGATTATTTGGGGAGTTATTACTTTATTTAAAAAAAGTTTTTTTAAAAATGAAGGACAGCCATGTGGAGGTGGTTTTAGTCATTTTAGAGAGAAATTGAATGGCTTTGCTATGATCCTAAATTAAATTCTTGAAGGGGCTATCCCTAGGATATTGTGAGGATATAAAATAAATTTAATTCTTTACTAAAACATTTTGACAGGGAAATTTTTCCAGATGTAGAATGCTCATCTGCATTATAACATTTTCTAGTAGAACTTCTGCTAGTGGGGAAAACATAATAACAACATAAGATAAAAAGAAAAAAAAATTAGAAAATATTTCAAGAGTAAGACAAAGATAAGAGGAAATTCTGCCTTGAGTGTTGTTAAACATTCTATGGGTTACCAAGGAAGGCTGGGAATCTCTTCTGGAGATCTCAGAAAAAGAAAGATTCTTAAAGTTGGAGTCATAAAAACTCAGGGTTGGCAGAGACCTTAAAGGTCATTTAGCTCAACCACCCATCTGGTGCTTGAATCACCTCAACACTATCCTTGCCAAGTGGTCATTGTTAAACTATGTTATGATTTTTCTGAAGAAGGTTACAGAATCTTCTTCAGAGGTTTTAGGGAAAAAACAAATGGTCTTTAGAGTCGGAAATCCTGCCATTGTGACCAGTTGATCTATGGTTTCTGATTCTGTTATACAACATATTTATTTTCCAGTTTCTTGTCATCTACAAATTTGATATGCCTGCCTTCTGTGTGTCATCCATGTTTCTGAGAAAAATATGAGGGCCAGGAATAGAGCCCTGTGACATGACATATAGAAACTACCCTCCAGGTTCATGTCTTCATGAATCACTATCTTTTGTATTGTTCACTCAATTACTAAGCCACCCAGTTACACTGTGACTCAGCCCATATTTCTCCATTTGGATCTTAAGATTGCCAACTGTAGCTATGGATCTGAAATTTATAGTAAATCTATTAGAGTAAATTAAGCTAGCACAATCTGATTTATTTACTCTTAGTAAATTTAAGCTGGCTTCTAGTGGTCACTACTTTCTTTTTAAAGTGCTTGGAGACCATCCCTTTAATAATCCATTAGAGTATCTTTCCAAATCACTGTGTTCCATAGTTTGGGAAGTCTGCCTTCTTCCCCTTTTTGAAAATTTTATGCTACATTTATCATCTCATCTTCTAGCACCTCTCCATTCTTTGTGATTCCTCAACTATCCACAGAGAGCAATTCCATGGCCTGCCTACAAGGTCTTTTGGTTTCCTGGGATTTGCCCATCCAGTCCAGTAATTCATTTAGAATGGATCAATTATTTGCTATCTTACATCTTTTTACCCATTTTAGAGTTTAATTTCTTCTCCCTTTTTCAGTCTGACAGTCATTCTCCTTGATAGAGAGGCCAGGAACAAAATAGGAGGGAGAGAGATTTGCTTTTTCTTTATTATCTACTGCTGTTAACAATAAACCTTCCTTGTTTTGATGTTGTGTTGTTTGTCTTTTTTTGCTTATTTGCTTTTGTGACATGGGGATGGTGATAGGGCATTAAACGTGATTTTAAAACAGGGAATATATGATTGTCTTTAGTATTTTGTTTTGTCTTTATTATTATTATTATTATTTTGGCAAGCTTCAGCTAATTTGGAATTTTAGCTCTCCTGACATTATTCTTCAAAGCTCATTCCACTCTCTTACAGACCATCATTACATGCCCTCTTTCCATCTTTTAAAGTGTGTCCTTTAAAAATCTGACCTGGGAGAAATCTCTGTGAAGCCATATTGGTTAAGTGCTGCCTGTCTTTTCTTCCTGAGATGATCATTTGTGATTGCAGTTACAGTTGAACATTTGGAAGCTGCTCAACCCTCTTAAGCCATTTTCCTTCTGAGTCTCATGCCATTGAATCATGCCTCTTTTCTTTGAATTTTTTGAAGTCCACCTTCCCCTCTTTGATTACACTGAACTCCGAAATGACATAGTGACTCTCTCTGAATGTTCCTATCAATTTTCATTTTACCAACTATTTTTTTCTTCTTGGTCAGAATTAGGTCCAGAGTTGAAGTTCCCCTAATTGCTTCCTCTACCATCTGGGAGATAAAATTGTTACCAAAGTAAGTCAAGAACCTGTCGGGTGCCCTACTTCTAACCAATTGAGACTTCTAGTGGATATCTGGATGGTTGACACCCCCATCACCACACTTTCTTGCTTCTGTATGTGTATTGTGTTGTGACAAGGATGCATCATCTATATCTTCCATCGAGCTGAGCAGTCTGTTCTGTACTCCCCAACCATTAGCACTTCTATTGCTCTCTCCTTTTTCCTTCACTCACAAGCTCTTAGCATGTTTCTACCCCAAACTCATGAGTTTCCACATAGATGTATGTTTCTTGGCCAGTAGGGCTACTCTGCCTCTCCTCTAAGAATACCATTTGAAATATAAATAAGCAAGCAAGCAAGCTACTCCCAACCATTCTTGGGTTCCCAGCCCAACACCTACAATCTTATAGCTAATTCCTCTGATACTGTATGTACCACTCAGTATTACAATCTCAATTTTCACTTCATTACCCTTGCCTCATATTTATATGTCGGCATCTGAAGCCTTAAGCATTTCTTCTGATGCCTGTCCCAGTTATTTTCTCCTGTGAATCACTTGGGTAGTTTCAGCATCATTATGGTTCTTTCCAAGTCATGGATGCTGCCATCTGTAGCAATTGGTTTTACAGCTTTTTTTCTGGGCATTTTTCTCCCTACCTCACCACATTGTTTAAAGCCCCATTGATAGTTTCTCCCTGAAATTAGAGAGATTGGCTAAAGAATTACAGACCCTTCCTTAAGGCCAAGGTTAACTAGTAGCCCCAAACCTCACTTTAGCTGTGAAGTTCAGCCTCCTTTTCCTAGCTGGCTATTGCAGTTTGTTGACAGTAAAAGTAACATTTGGTTTTACTTTCTGTTTATTTTCTCTCTTGTGGTCTGATGGAAATAAGTAGGGAAATGGCCACAAGTGAGGCAGTGGAGAAGGAGAGTGAAGGGATGGGTGCAGGACCTGTGTGGTCTGTTACAGCGTCACCACTTCCCTGTTACCTTCCCTTTCTTTGGCAGTGGATTGTTCCTTATATGCTTTGGAAGGTTTAAATTCCCAAGAACTCCCCTTGTTCATTAATTATCCTTTTGGTTTCATACTTTAGAGGGTTGTTGAAAGGATTACATGAGATGATGTATGTTAAGTGCCTGGTACAGTGCTTAAGATATACTGAGCAACAAGTGGTGGTAGTTATGGAAGGCATGAGATTTAACTCTTGTTAGCTATTGTGGCTGAGTCATATTTTGAGCTCTTCAGAAATAACACGACTTGTAGGTTCTTCCTGAAGCAGAAAGTCAGTGCTAACTGTAAAGAGATGTTGAAGCACTGTGGTTTTTTTTTTTTTTTAATGAATAACTTGATTTAATGAATTTCTTATTCTGAACAAATCCTTAGATTGAAGAGAATCTGTGTTTAGTCAACAGAAGTAAACCTGCATATAGCACCTCTAACTTTGAGTGTTGGAAGGAACTGTTTAATAACAGCTGTTATCACCATCACAAGCTGACATTTATTGAGCACTTAACCACATGCTGGCTACTGTACTGAGCACTTTACATGCATCACCTTACTTACCCTTCACAACAACACTGTGAACAAAGATTCCATGTTGTTCTCCATCAGGGAGGCAGAGTAAGAACTTGCCCAACGTGGCACACTAATAAAGGGTGGAGTCCATACGTGAGCCCCATGCTCCTAACACTATGCATCCTACCTCTCAAGCCAAAATACAGACGTTTCTTTTGTACCATTATTTTGTGTCAGCAACTACAAACCAAGTGCATGAACCAGTTGGTCACTCTGCATGTTTTGGCGTAACTCCTTGCCTTTCTGCATGAGCTCCCACAGTCTATTACCATGTCCTCGGCTTTGTAATTGATGGTGGCTATTATCTGAATGAACAGGTGTGCAACTGCTTATATTCTGTTGGCTGAAGAGGAAGCAACAACCATCGCTGAAGCAGAAAAACTATTTAAGCAGGCCCTGAAGGCTGGAGATGGCTGTTACCGACGTTCTCAGCAGCTACAGCATCATGGATCCCAGTATGAAGCCCAACATAGTAAGGTTTCCTCCAGGTTGATGCATTGGGGGATCAGATTTGTAAAAATTATTCATTAGAGCAAATTTTTAGTCCAATTCAAAATATGATTCTCCTAGACATGAGAAAATATTGGCTTTTGCTTTTTTTTTTTTTATACTTCTTTCCTATAAATATAGTTAGTAAATAATTAACATATAGCTTCATTACTGTTTATATTAACATTCTCTTTCCTGCCCATAGATTCCTAACCCCAGAAATAAATGGCAGTAACCTTTAATGGTAACCTTTTCCCCTCCTGAATGCTTATATATTTCTGTTCATCAGTTGCTTCTGCTCATAACTTTAAGACCCAGTTGGGAAACAGAATTTAAATTAGCCATAGTGTTATCAAAGATTTTATCTTACAGATCATCTACAACATGGATTGAAATAGGACAATTAAGAAAATAACAGTTAGGCCGGGCGCGGTGGCTCAAGCCTGTAATCCCAGCACTTTGGGAGGCCGAGGCGGGTGGATCACGAGGTCAAGAGATCGAGACCATCCTGGTCAACATGGTGAAACC